AGGGCTGTGGCCCAGGCGCGCTGCCCACCAGGCTTCCCGTGGGTGGCGGTGGCGGGTGTCACTTTTCTTCCCGGTCCTCTCCGCGCAGCCAGCTCCGTTCCCCCAGCCCCGAGTGGCGGCTCCTTGGGCCGGAAACAATGTGCTTTCTCCACGCCTGGGAGTGGAAGTCAGCAGTTTGGCACCGTCTGGCTGGCAGCCTCCACCGGCTTCCTTTGGCACTTTATTGGCAAAGGCGGTGACATTTCTTTCAGTTGGGTGGGTGGAGCTGTTATGCAGACTCCTGCTCTCCTCATTCGCCAGATGAATATTCATGACTCAGGCAATCTGTACCAGCCAGACTTTCCTGAGGGCGGCAGCTTTTCTTCTCTTCCTCTCTCTCTTTTTCTTTCTCCTTCTCTCCTTCCCAGCTCTTTGGAAAGCTGGAGTACGGCTATATTTAATTTACAAATACGGAGCTATTTAGCTTGCCTTTTGCGGGGCAGGCACTGGGGAGGAGGTGCTGGGGATGGGAACAGTGGTGGAAGCCTTTGGTCCCTGACCCTGGGCTTCTAGGTCCCTGTGTCCAGCACCTGGGCGCCAGATCCTGGGAAGCCTTATGGGTCTGGGGCTCCCTTTGAGCTTGGCCTCTTGGCGCCCTCGTGCCTGAAGCGGCAGCAGCTTTGTGCCACCTCGTTCCACACTGGCTGCTGAGGTCCACATGCAAATCGGAGGAAGCATGATGCTTTCCTCGCTCAAAGCATGGCAGGCCCCAACACTATAGCATTGCTCCCCCTGCTCCCCCCCCGCCCCCGCCATGCTCCCATGCTTGTCAAGGCCCTCCCGGACCCTGCTCGAAGCCCTAGACAAAAACCCAGAAGGCACCGGGGCATTGGTTAGTCATTGCTTTCCTAGAGAAAGAACCAATCCCTACTTGAGGTCCACTTCCCTGGGGATACACCTGCTCCCTTTCTAGGAAGGATGGCCACATAGCTTCTTTTGTCTCCTCCCATAGAGGCACCAGAAACTGGCAAAAAGGCTCAGAATTTCCAGAATTTGCCAGGGAATTTGGTCTTAGCAAGGATGTTCTCATGTATATCTTGTGTGTGTGTGTGTGTGTGTATGTAAATATTTACGCACAGCTTAAGTGAGTGTATGCCTACATCTATGTTCAAGTGTTTGAGTGTGTGTCTGTATGTGTAAGGGCGTGAATGTGTGTGTGGCAGGAAGTCTGGGAATGTCTGCATGTGCGAATGTGCCTCTCCAGTTAGAGCTGTGTGTGTATCTCTGTGGGTCTGGGGTGTCGTGTGTGAGGGTGCTCCTGGGGGGCAGAGGCTTGCGTGTGTGGTGTGTATGTGTGCATGTGCAAGTGAACTGTATGTGTGTGTACAAGTGTATGTGTGCATCTGAGAGTCTGGGAGCATGTGTTGTGTGTGTGTGTGTGTGTGTGAGAGAGAGAGAGAGAGAGAGAGAGAGAGAGGGTGTGATTCTCCCTGACCTCCATTCCCTTCCAAACCTCATGCTCTCTATCGAGGTGGAGGGAGACATCCCCCCCTTTGCAAGTGTTACAGATTCTATCCAAGGACGGGAACAGAAGGCTTCCCAGCACAGAGCGTCCTGAAATTACTTTATATTCCCCCCTCCTTGTTTCATCTAATCAAAATAGCAGCGTTAGGCTCACCCATTCTCCCTGCCCACCACTTAGCCCCAGGGGAGGGAGCGAAGCGGGCCATCTTGTCTGACCTCCTCTGTGAGCACCTTGCAGCCCCAAGCCAAGGAGCTGTCTTCCAAATCTCCTCGCTCCATGGCCCATGTTTCAGTGGCAAGAGCCAGCTGCCTCCCTGCCTGCCAGCAACCGCCAAGCTCTTCCAGAACCCACATCCAGGCTCAGCCTCATTTACAAATATGCAAATTTGCATCTTTTCTGGTATGCAAATGGAGACATGACAAATAGCTAATTAGGGTCAAAAGAAGCACTCTGAACCAATTAGTTGTAGGGTTGATTCCTTTCTGCTGGGAGGAGACTGGCCCCTCTTGCCCCCCTCCTTCCCTGGCTGCCCCAGGCCCACACCCTCTGGCCTGGCCTGTCTGGCTGGGGCCAGGGATGGTCAAAGAGCACTGAGACAGGAGTCAGTGATTGAATCCCACTCCCACTCTGGCTCTTAGCTGTGTGACTCTGGATGTACTCGCCGGAACTTCAGTGTCTCCCTCTGTGAAATAGAGCAACGGCAGTGACCTGTCCCTAACCCCCCACCCCAGTGTAGGTAGTGAGACCGGGGGCTGGCGGGGGGGGGGGGCGGCTAGGATGTCAATAGCCTTTGGAAACGGTACTAAAATTCCTCTGATAGGCACATCGCCTGTGTTCTTCCGAAGCATTCGGTCGCCCCATCCGCCCTCTGAATTAGATGAATTAGAGGTAGTGGCAGCATGGCAGTGAGCTTCATCCTGGCTGCCAACTCTGGCCAATTACGAACGTCTGCCTGGAGTGGTGCGTGGAAGAGGATTTCCAGGCCAAGTCGGATTCCCCAGAAGAGACTGTGATCGATTAATGATGTCTGCTGTGGGTGAGTGATTGGACTCCAGCAGCTCCTATGCTGTGTATTTACTGACGGGGAATGACCTGGAGTTTGCAGCAGGCACCTGGGTTCCCGGGCTGTCTGCTCCCTGCAGGAAGTGACTCCCCCTTCCAGAGCTCTGCTCCCTAGTGTAGCGCAGGGGCAATTCGACCGGTGTCTCAGAGCTGTTGTAAGGAAGAGACAAGAGAAGGTGAAGCAAAACCTCTCTTTCACCTGGGAGGTGATAGGAACCCTTGACACAGTCCGCGGGACAGGCACGTTGTCCCATTTCAGAGGTGGGGAGCCCGAGGCCTGCAGAAGGTGGATGACTTGGAGTAGAGGAAGCAGGCTTGCCAGGCAGGCCTGCGCAGCAGCTGGGGCTGCTCTTCTCTCTGCCACTACAGGATCTTGGCTCCCTCCCGCCACCCCCGCGTTGATGCCCCAAGCAGGCTGCAACAGGCCCCACTGGCCTGGCTCCACTTCTGGGTGTGAAATTTGGCTGAGTCGGCACCTGGGAGAATGGGGCAATTGCCATCCTGGAGCCTGGGGCCTGGCCTGGGGCCAATGGGCAGACAAGAGATGGTGGGAGGGCCTGAGTACCAGGCAGCCGACCAGGGCTTGGTGGCTGGCAGGGGTGGGTCCGGAGAGCACCTGGCTCGAAACTGGCCAGCTCGGGGATGCTGAGCTCAGAACAGAGCCCAGCTGTGTGCGTGTGCCTGGCTCTTGGCAGTGCCTGAGCATGTCCTTGAGCGTGACTTTGTGTGTGCGCATGCATCTCAGGATACATCTGGGAACATGGGTTCTTATAAATGTGCATACATGCATCACATATCGGTATAAGAATAGGCAGAGCTATGTAGTTGTGTACATCTGTGTGTCTGTGTGTGTGTGTCTGCACATCAGTGTGTAGGTGAACTGCTTGCATGTACACATCTGTCAGTATCCGTGTATATGTGTGTCTATACATTTCCACCCGTATGCGCGGGTGTCTGTGTGTATGTGTCTTTCAGTATCTGTGCAGGTGTGTGCACACCGGTGCGTCCATCCTGGTGCATGTCTGTCTGCCACCTGTCAGTGTCTGTGGACACGGCTCCACATCTCTCTGTTGGCATCAGTGAAAGCATCACTGTTCAGCATGTGTGACCTTTCCAGGGATTCTGTTCTTCGGTGTGTCCTGTACTTGCATTAGCGAGTGCTTCCATGGCTGTGCCCCTTGGCTGGTGCATTTCTTGGCTGGTATGTACGTCTACCTGTGAGGGTGTTGGTATCTACTGCCGAATGCAGGCATGGCTGTATCAAGGTGAGCAGGATGGACTCTTGGATGTGGCTGCCATAGCTCCCTGTTTTCTCTCCATTTTTCTCTCCGTTCCTCCTTCCTTCCCTTCTCTCAACTCACTCTTGCAGACCTGGCCCAGGCTGCTGTGGAGGGGACAGATGAGCCTTGGAAGCCCACTTCAGCTTCTGGAGAGGGGCTCCCTACGTCCATCGCCCCTGTAGACTCAGCCCCAGAGCCACACAGGCTCCTGGCTTTTTATTTAATTATTTTTATTTTTATTTTTTTAAAGATTTTATTTATTTATTTGACAGCGAGAGACACAGCGAGAGAGGGAACACAAGCAGGGGGAGTGGGAGAGGGAGAAGCAGGCTTCCCGCGGAGCAGGGAGCCAGACACGGGGCTCGATCCCAGGACCCTGGGATCATGACCTGAGCCGAAGGCAGACACTTAACCAACTGAGCCACCCAGGCGCCCGCTCCTGGCTTTTTAAAGTTGTCGCCCTCCCCGTTGCATATTAATCCTCACCGCCAGCAGCAGTGAGAGCGAGAACTCATGTCTTTTTCTCCTTCCCTTTGAGGTGTCCCTCCCGTTCCTCCTACCTGCTGAAGGGTGGCCTCACCACCCGCTGGAAGATCTGTCGGCTTGGACTTTGATCTGCAGTCAAATGCTCTGCCCCTGAGCTATACCCCCTGCCGGCTTGGACTTTGGAGCACGTGTGCCCCAACTCAGCTGTTTGTCGATGGTCACTCTGCCATCGCTGGAACTTTTCTGGCATGTGACTTGGGGCTCCTCCCCTCCTGCCTGGGTTTGGATTCCAGCCTTCCCCGGCCGGCCCTCCCTGCCCAGTTGCCCGGGTCATTCCCAGGCAGCCTCACTTGGATATGGTGCCCCGCACGTGCCGGCTGCCCCGCAGGGACGGGGACTATCTTCCCTGTCTGCCCCAGGCTCCCAAGCCCCGGCCCACAGCTGTGCTGGAACAGGAGTGTGATGGATCATGCCAGTGCCTGAGTTCTTAACTTGCCATCATCCAGTGCCTCCCCCCACCCCCTTACAGTTTTCTCCCTTTACCGATGGTTTTGTATGGAATTTAAAATAAAAAAGATGGATTAAAAGTTGGAAACTGTGTAAGTGAAAATAAAAGCACTTAAGACCAATAAGTATTATTTGAGATTTAATGTACAGAGAAAGCTCGGTAAGATGACATTTTAGGGACACTTCTCAGCTGGTATGTGTCCTGACTTTGTTCTCCTCTCTTGGGGTCTGTTGGCTAGATGTCCTCCTTGTTGGAAGCCTGCCCAGGCAGGCGCTGAAGTGAAGTGTGAAGAACTCGGGCTTCAGGCTGGGATAACCTCGCATTGACTCACTCACTGGCTGTGTGACCTTTCTGGACCTGAGTTTCCTTTTTTGTCCTTCTCTATGATGGGGACAAAAGACCTGCTTTGTAGATCAGTTGTGCGGAAATAATGGCCAGGTCTGGAAGCAATGCCCAGTGTTCAGAGTATTCCCCCTTCAGAATGCACCCAGAACCCAGCTGCCATCCCCACCGCTGCTTTCCCAGCAGAGGGCTGCACACCAGCATCCTCCCTGCTCCCCAGTGGTCTGGTCCCTACATAGCAGCCACACTGATCCTGTTAACATTCAAGTCCTAGCATATCACTCGCCTGCTCAGGACCTTCACTGCTTCCCACATCCTGTGGAGGAAAGCCGAGGTCATCACAGCAACCTCAAGCTCCACACGCTCAATCTCCCCACCTGCGAGGGTCTCTGTTTCCTCCCTTTCACTTCCCTCCAACTGCACTACCCTCCTTATTCCCCAAATGTGCCAGCCACATTCCTGCCACAGGACCTTTGCATGTGCTGTGTCCTTTGCTGGAATGCTCTTCCCCCAGATCTCCTCCTGGCTCCCTCCATCATCCCCTTCAGGTCTTTACTCAGATGTTACCTTCTCTGTGAGGAACACCCTGCTCTTTCTGACTTAGTTTTATGTATGGCTCTTATAACACTCTAGGAATACCATACTATACTTTTAACCTATTTATATTCTATGTTGCTTGTCTTCCCAAGAGAATGTAAGCTCTTTTTTTTTTAAATAAAGATTTATTTATTTGAGAGAGAGTACGTGAGTGGGGGGGGAGGGGCGGTGGGAGAGGGAGAGAGAGAATCTCAAGCAGACTCCCCACTGAGCACAGAGCCTGATGCAGGGCTTGATCCCAGGACCCTGAGATCATGACCTGAGCCGAAATCAAGAGCTGGCAGCCCAACTGACTGAGCCACCCAGGCGCCCTGAGAATGTAAGCTCTTTGAGAGCAGGGATTTTTGTCTTTGTTTCCATCACCTGGCAAATAATGGGCACTCAATAAATTTTTGCTGAATGAATGAACTGCTCGTCATTTTGGAGAGTGTCAAGTGGCTATCTACCAGTTTGGGCAAGCAATCAGGGGTTATCCTCTGGCAGCTCTGGGGGGAGCGTGGCTTCAGAATGACTTCCTTAGCAAGGCAGTGGGGGTCCTTGAGAGGAAACCTGCCCCCCCCCCCGCCCCCATGGTCCTGCTTGGGGGCATCCAGTTCAGGAGGAAGCGCCCAAGTGCTGATTCCTGACCCAGCCTGAGAGTCAACACTGTGTCCCGCTCCCTGGCATTCTCTTTTATCTCCATACACCACAGCTACAAGTGCATCCAAGGCCAAGGTGGTCCTTCTTGGAGGCTCACATTCAGCTGGGTCTCTTCATGGGATAAGGGCACTCAGGCTAAAGCGGGTAGTCCAGCCAGGCTCGGGGAGGCTGAGGGAGGGTTAGCTACTAGGAGGGCACGGGATGGGCGCTCAGGCTCAGGGAGTAGCTGCACGGGCAGAGCTGAGCATGTAGGAAGCCCTTGGTGTGCTAGGGAAGGGCGGGCAGCAGGGTGTGGCTGGAGTATGCCTACTTACCTGGTGGGAACTTTCCGAAGCCGGGATTGGGTCCGGTCCCTCTTTGCCTGCCTGTCTCGGACCGCACTCAGCCCTCAGCAGTGCCATCAATTTCTGCTCAGATCCAGGAGTCTAGGAGTCTGGTGGTGTAGTCACCTCAGAGCACAGCAACACCATGGTGAAGGTCAGACCTGGAAGTGGGTCTTGGTCTTACCCTTTACTTTAAAGTAGTTTCTTCAAAGATGGGGGCAGGGTGCTTCTCCAGAGGTGAGAGACACACCCAGACCAGAGCCATCTCTCCAAACAACATATTCATGGCTAAAAGTGGCTTTGTCTGGAGTCTGGAACAGACTTCTCAACTTTTTTTTTTCCCCCCAAATGCCATGGACTTCTTTAGCAGTCTGGTGAAGCCTGTGGAACCTTCTCAAACAGCATTTTAAATGCATAAGATACACAGGATTACAGAAGAAACTCATTCTATTGAACTGTAGTTCTAATCTTGGACCCCAGGTTAAAATGGCCAGTTATGCTCTTTGAAGATACTTCGGTCTTTGAAAGGAGCATAAATCCTGGCTTCTCCTCCTGCACACTTGGAGGGGGTTGCTGGGGCAAGGTGTTTGTGCCTATCTTGGCAGGGCTGTCCTGGGGTGGAGGGAGCAGCCCTCTCCCACCATGCCCACAAGACAGAGTTTGAACCCTTCAGGGGAAGCCACAGGGAGGGAGATGGCTGGGCTGCCTGGGGGAAGGAATGAGCTCCCCTCCTCCGGGGGTGGTCAGCTGGAGGCCCATCTGCCAGGGATTCTGGGGTCCGGGTGCAGTGGACAATTGCTGCTCGGGCTGGGTGCGGGGGAGATTTTTGGTTGATTTAGCCCGAGGTCCTTTTGGAGGTGGATCTAGGAGGTGTACCTGTGGCTGTTGGTCTTTCTCCTTTTCCAAGCCCTGAGCCACCTGTGCGAACCTGGGAAGGGGAGGATGGCACTTTCTTCTGGCTTTTGCTTACCAGGCCCGGGCAAGCAAACTGCACCAGTGCCAACTCAGCTTTTCCTCACAATCAGCAGCTGGTCTTGGTCTTTTGAAGACACTGGGATTTGGGCTGGGGAAGCCTCTTGCTATTCTGCGTCTGTCCCCCAAACCTCTTGCTATTCTGAGTCTGTTCACCAAAACTATTCCTGGGGGGGGGGTGGAGCTTGAAAACCAAACCACCCAGCCTCCCCGCAGCTGTCTAGAGTTTCAGATCGGAGCCTAGGGTGGGGTCCCTCCTTCTTACCTGTGGGGCACTGTTGCTGTCCCCAGAGACTAAGACGTCTGAAATGGTCTGGGCCAAACCCCTGTGGTGTGGAAGGGCTAACTTCGATGCAGGAGGGTGAGGGCTTAGCCCAAGCCACATAGCCTCTGGGTGGCAGAGCTGGTTTTGGATCATCAGCACCTGCCTTCCTCCAGCCCAAGGCGGGAGAGCTGCCGTAGGAAGGCAGCCTTGGGTCCCCCTTGACAAACACATCATGCTTCCCACCTAAACCACCTCCGTGGGTGGGGAGCCAGGGACTGGTCTATTAGCTTTCTCCCGCTGTCCCCCGAGGGGGCATTTGTCTGTTTTGCATTTTTTCCAGGCTGTAGTTAGACAACTCCTGGTCCTGGGGGGAGCGCTGCAAAGAGAAAATGTCAGGGCGACACGCCGCCAAGATAACATTAGCGAAATATCAAGTCCTTTATGATGTCAGGAGGGATTCCTTCCCGCGGCCGGGGCTGCCTAATGACATCATAAAATAGGCCTGCGGCAGCCACAGTCCCCCTGAGTCATCAATCAGGCCTGTCTGCCGAGGGCCCCAGCACACGGGGTGGGGGGGCGGGACGCAGGATTTGAAACTCAAAGGGGGCCCCAACACAGCAGCACTGTGCTGGGCTGAGGGGCCGAAGGCACCCACAGCCTCTAGGACGCGTCGGCCTCCTGAACCCCGGGGAGATCCTGAGGCTGAGTCGGCCGGCCACTAATGGGTTCCCCGGGAGGCCTCTGGCCAGGCCACAGTACTTCAGTGGTGCTGACGGAGAGGAGGGGACCTAAGCCCGGGCTTCCTACTTGCTGATATTGCTAGGGACAGACATAGGCCCCCTCGTCTGGAGCAACTACGGGACCAAGAGTCACAGCACCGGAGACAGCGGGAGGAGGTCTTTGACTCTCCTGCGGCTGGTGTGTGCTCCTGAAGGGTGTATGCTTGCCCATCTGCATCGTCTCGCTCTATACACCTGCGGGTTTTTACAATACCCATACTGTACAAATGGATTATCCATGTCTGCGTTTGCCCGGGTGTGCAGGCTCGTGCCTGCAGCCTCCTCCCGCCTGCTTCCTCTGTGTCAGAGTGTCTGTCTGTCCTCACACTTCTCTGTGTGTCCATGTGCTGGTGCTTCTGTGTGTCAAATGTCTGTGAGGTGTGGGAGGGCATCTGGAAGACCGAAGACAGAGGGAGGATCCCAGAGGGTGAGGGGGGGTGGGGTGGGGTGTCTGTGCGTCAACCACCCTTGGCTGAGAACTTTGGATTGTACTAGAATCACCTGGGGAGATTTAAAGACCTACCCATGCCCCAGTCTTACTTCAGGTCAATTAAACCAAATCTCTGGAGACCAGGCTCAGGCAGTGGTGGTTTTAAAGGCTCCCCAGGTGATTCTAAAGTGCAGCCAGGGTTGAGAATCAGGGTGTCCAGAGCCTTGCTATTCCAAAGGGGGGGGTGTCCGTGGACTATCACCTGCCTCACCTGGGAGCTTCTAAGAAATGCAGACTATCAGGACCCTCCCAGGCCTTCTGAGTCACTCGGCATCCTCTCCAAATCTCTAGTTTAATGGGATCCCCAGGTGATCCGTGCATCCATTAAAGTTTGAGAAGGGTAGAGCAGTGCTTCCCCACTAATGCAGATCTAAGAGTTTCTGATTTAGTAGGTGTGGGGTGGGGCCCAAGAATCTGCTTTTCTCGGGAGCTCCTAGAGAGCTGCTGATGCAGCTGACTGGGGACCACACTTGGAAAACCACTGGCTTCGATGTCGTGTATGAGGAAGACAGAAGGAGAGTGAGTGGAGGGGTGTGTGTATTGGGGGTATGAGGATGGGAAGGAAGGGGGCGTCAGCAGTCACCCGGGAAGGTCAGGTCCCCCCAAAAAGTGTGGCCTGCCATCCTTTTAGGTCCTCAATTTCCCTGGCTCGGGGGGGGGACTAGTCGTGAGGAAAGTAAAGAGAACAGGAAACATGAGCAAGTTTCCTGAGAGCTGCTGGCCTTTGTCCTCCCTTTCTGTCCCCGAAGGAGCTCCCCTCCCTACCCCACCATTCCATTAAGAAAAAGGGTCCAGGGCTGAAAAAAAATTATTAAGAAGGGGCACCTGGATGGCTTAGTCGGTAGAACATATGGCTCTTGATCTCAGGGTCATGAATTCGAGCCCCATGTTGGGCGTAGAGATTACTTAAAAAAAAAAAATTTAAGAAAAAAGAATATTAAAAGAAAAAGGATCCAGAGCTGGACCCTTCTTTGTTTCCAAGAACCCCAGGCCAAAGAATCAGGTTTTCTCAGAGCCAAAGCTCATTAAAATGCCCACGTGCCTTCGTGGAGCTCCGGCCCACGGTGGGCCTCCGTCATGAGGGCACTCATGTCCAGTTTGCCTGGGACGAGCTCAGCGCGTGATCTCAGGGGATGATTCTCATCCTCTCAAAAGTTCTCAAAAGTTTACCCGACAAACCATACGGTTCCCCCATTGATAAAGGCTGCTGGAATGATTCCAGTCTGGTTGAGGTAGAGGTGAGCGGGCCTCGAGGGCGGGGTGGGAGGCGACTAGGTGTGTTTCCAAGGGGGAAGCCCTCTGCAACCTGCCCCCCACCCCTGGGTTCCCTCCTCCCGGCCTGGCTTCCCGGGTGAGCCGGTGAGCGGTGGGAGGGAGGACAGCCAGCCAGGGGAAGGGGTTTACCCTCGTGGAGGTGGTGCGCTGGGGAGCAGACATCTCTCTCACGGGGCAGCAGGCCCTGACTGTCTGTCCATCTGCCTGGCGGCGGGAGGAATGGCGGGGGCGGCGGTGGGAACCACAGACCAGCAGCCCAGGCTCAGCGTCCATGGCTCCCTCTTGCTTCCAGCGGGGCTGTGCACTATCAGCACCTCTTTGGGCCGCATCTGGGCAGAGGCAGCAGGGGGGAGGAGATAGCGATCAACCGGAATACCAGAGGTGTGAGGCAGGCATGACCTCACCCAGGGTGTGCCTGCTCTCGGAGCCTTGTCAGGCCACCCTCCCCGCCCGCTCCCAGGCACCCCCAGGCCGGCTTCGACAACAAGCTTCAGCCAGCCACAGCAGGGGCGTCCCTCCGCGCCGGGCTGGGTCCCAGCCAGGGCTCAGGCCAGGGACCTCTCTGGGAGCCTCCTCTAGGCTGTCTGGGGGCCAACGCTGTGGTCTCTTAGGGGATCCGGGGGGCCCTTCTCTGGCTCCCTGGGACTGGGGCATTTGGAGAAGCAGGGAGGGAGGCCTGAGGCTGGGGAGTGCTATTCAGGACCGGAAATGTGGTCAGGAAAGAAGGGAAGTTGTTCCTGCCCAGTGGTGGAGGGAGCTTAGAGGCCTGTCTCAGCTTGGGGCAGGAGGTGCAGATCAGGAAGAGACGGTGCCCCCCCAGTGCGGCCAGCAGGGGCGCCTACTGTGTGTCAGGCAGCTGGTTAGCCAGAACGGATTTGGAAATCAAAGCCGAAAAAGCCCAGAAGAGACTGTGGGAGGTACTCACGGACCCAGATGTATTAAAACACCTTTTGGTAACTGCGGATTGAGCCCATGTGGTAAAGCGGGAGGTTCATGCCAAGTGGTTAACCGTGGGCTCAGAGAGGAGGGGCTCCTCCCCGTGAGGAGCTGTGGGGGCCCTGCAGAATCCTGGGTGGCGGTCTCTAGGAGAAAATGCCCCCACCTCTGATGGGCTAAAGCAGAAAGTGAGCGAAGCAGCTCCCGTGGAAGCTGGCTCTGAGTCTTGGTGTTGGGGGGTGCCCTTGGACCCCCTCTCACTGTCCCGCTCTGTCCTGTCCCTCGGCTGTTCCCATTTAAGCCCGCAGGCATGCGCAGGTCCTTCCCACACATGCTTCTCGTCCCACTCAGGCTACAGCCGCACCCACTCCCGAATGACCTACACTGGTGCCCACTACCTCCATGCGCACCCCACACCCACACCCACATTCACAGGGAGGCAAGCGGACCTCACCCAAGGGCATTGTACAAACAGCCACCTTGAGATACCTTTGCATAACGAATGAATGGATCCACCTGTGAGCTGCTGGCCTTTTCTGGGCACGCTGGGTGTCTGTGGGCTCAGAGTCCCAAACCCTGCAGGGCAGACCGCATTTGTCCCTGTGCCAAAGGCCACAACCTTGCTCCCCGCAGTGCCTCCTGGTGGCTGCCTTCCCCAGCCTCCTGGATAGAGCTGCCATCCAGAGTCCGGAGCCTCTTTCTTCCATGTGCTGATAAGGGACAGGGCTGTATCGTAGTTTGTGTTGTTCTCTGAGTTATTGATCCAGCTCAGCAAATGTTTCCTGGGCTTTCCATGTGCCTGGCCTCTCTGCTAAGCTCTGGGGCCCAGAGACAAGGAGAATAACTCGCCACTTTCAAAGAACATCTGGGGCTTAACAAGACCCTTAAGGCTCCCAGTCTGTCCTGGGATTACATCCTCCCCGGACCCTCCCCCACCTGTTCACGCCCATCTGCCCTCACACACACTCTTCTCTGTCACGTGACAGCCACCCTCCTCCTCCCTGTCATTCTCTTGCACCCCCTTGTTTTCCTCCTTCACACTGGCATGACGTCACTTTCTTGGTTCTGAGGCAGCATCAGGAGTGTTGTGAGGAGGCTCCCGTTCCTCCCTAACATCTCCCCTCCCTCACTTTTCCAGCTTTGGAAAGTGCTCTGGGCGATGCAGAGCCAGGCAGAACCCGCGGTTGCAGGGGTGGGAGGGGCGTGACGGTGGGGCGTCCCCACTGGGTTCTGGGTAAGGCTCTTGGGCTTCTCGGGGGGCCCCTAGCGTGGTGGGAAGTGGATACCGGAGAGAACGAGTGGGGGAGAGAAGAGAGGAGGGGTAGGGAGAGAGGAGGCAGAGACAAATGGGCATCAAAGGAAGTCACAGACACTGCAAAAAGCAACAGGGACAAACAGACCAACAGAAGGAGATTCTGACCTGGTCACCAAGCACTTCTAACAAAATCACCCTCTTCTCTGAAAGGTGGACTTGGGTCTTTCTTGGCGCACGCTGGGATGTTGCCCGCACGGTGTAGCCCTGGAGCGGGCCTCAGAAAGGCGGCTGGGGTCAGCCCTGGCCTCCTGCTGGCCTCAGCTCCCAGCCTGCTGGGAAGGGCAAAGGCTCCTTGAAGGGCAGTCCAGGCTGGGACCCTCCCATCTCCCCTCCACGGGCCCCTGGCTTGCTGTGGTCTTGACACCCTCAGCTCGAGCCTTCAGGGAGCTATGTCAGAGATGGGAAAGCAGCTTTGCAGGGAAAATTTCGCTAATTCCCAGCAGCCTCTGGCCCCACCTTGCGTGGGCGGTCTTCAGCCTTTCCTTAGAAGCTGTATCCCCAGGTCCGCCTTCTTTTGGCCCTTGGTGCCAAGTGGGACCCCATAAGCCCCCTTCCTCCTGTCCCTGTGAGG